CGACTTATGGTCAGTCGAAGTAGGTGGAACAAGAGATATCTCTGAGCCGGTGTCTACGCGGAATTTACGACAGGAACTCCTGTCGTAGATGGGAAGTAGGCGACTGGAGAAGGATGGGCCGACCACGTTCGTCACCCTTACTGGCCGGCGGCGAAGTTTTCCGATGCCGACTTCTTGTGCCTGCACGGAGATTGACAATGACGGGCATTATGACCATAATTGTGGTGATACCAACAGAGACCATCAGTTGAAATTTGGTTGGGAGTGGGATATCTTAGGCGACGAATAGTCGAAGGACTACGAAGGTTGTAGACACGAGTGGCCCGGAGCTGGGAAACTTGGAGGGTGAGGGCATCCAGGCGTCGGACGACATCTGCGATAGAAGGCGTCGTTACGCCCCGAGAAGAGACATTCACCGAGCCGGGTGGCTGATAGTACTCGAGTATCCGGTCGGCTGTCTCAGCCAGTGTTTGAATTGACGAAGAAGGAATGTTGGGTGCAAGGATAGCTTGCATGGATGAAGGCAGCCGCTGGAGGAAAAGCTGTTTGAACATAGTGCCGTCCAGCTGTTGAACCTCAGCTAGCTGCTCCAGGCGCCGAAGGAGCTGGGTTGGCTTCCTGTCATCAAGGTCCTCCTCGAAAATTAAACGCTGAAGGGTTTTTGTGTCGATAAAGAGACACGGGAGATGAGGGCCTCCTGTAGTGTAGTATAGGGAGTCTCTGTAAGCGGACTGTCTTTAATATCATGGAGATCTGTTGCAATCTCCAGTGGCAATGTCGCCACGAGATAATGAAATTTGGTTTCTTCCTTCGTGATTTGCCGCAGAGCAAAACGGGATTCGACTGTTCGCAGCCAAAGGGCTATGTCACCCAGCCAGCAAGTAGGCAAGTCGAATGTGTGTACCCCGCTGATGGCCTGACCGTCAGCCATGATGCGGGCGAGATAGAATTAGTCACTGGAGTGAGGGGGGTAGAGAATTAAACGCAGTCTGCCTATTGGTTAACAATACGAGGTGTGAATTCAGGAATCGGCAGACACACGTTGCGGCGAGAAAATGAGGGCGAAACAGTGTAACAATTGATAGCAATTGAAATCGCAATTAAAATCGGAGTCACCAATGT